AGAGAGAAAGAGAGACAGACAGAGACAGCAATAAGGATGACTATGCCTTCACTTCAGGAGTACAGAATGACCTCTGAGATTATTGAGAGCAATAACCCCCATACACACAACCACAACCACAACCTCACTCACTCACACTGTCACACACACACACACACACACACACACACACTGCTCAACTCAGCACAGATACTCTATGAAGCTGCTGGTTCCTCTGAGTGGGCGGATGTACCTGCATACTACTTGAAGCGCTCTTGAGTAACATTCTGTAAATGATGATATACCAAGATATGATATGTGAGACACACACACACACACACACACACACACACAGTAAATGAATACACCTAGGAAGGTACTGGGGGTCACAAAGAGAGGGATGCCTTATCTCTGCTACAATAAAAAGGGAAACTAGTACATTTCAGTATTAAGATGTGATTTTCCTGAATGCCTTAAGGCAACTAACTTGAAATAGTGAACTATCACTGTTGTCTCCTATAGACAGAATCTGTCCAGAAACAGTTTGGGATATGATGAAATCATTTGAATGTAAAAATGAACTACAACTCACTGTTATGGAACAAAAATAGATACCCTTAACAGACTGGAGGCTTGGTTCTCCTGCTGTCGGTGGAATTAACATGTGAGTTTTGAAGTTTAAAGGTACCTTGTGGAGTTTTTAACCATTAGTGGCACTGGAGCAGATCCCCATTTAGTTTTTATCTCATGCTTTATCTACACGCATGAGCACACTGGTGACACGATCCATATTGCTGGTGATGTTTTTGCGCTATTGTTCTGATTGACAGTCTGCCACTGTCACAGATAACTCACCAAAAAATGTAGTTAGCAAACATGGATGTAAGCATCACAGGTTTCAGAAAATGTCAAATAAAAACAAAAAATCAGCTTTGCAAATGTTTTGTAAGGAAGGAAATGCATTGAACGTGTTTTTAGGCCTCACGGATACAAACAAATGCATTTATGTGATAAATTCTGAATGTAAACATAATTGTCTTTGTTGACAACTCTACAGGGTACCTTTAAAGAGCAACTTAACACCCCACTGAAAATCCTGTTTTTGCTGATGTCCAGTGGTTTTTACCTTGCTTGAGTGATGCAGCAGTGTAGTCTGGGGTGTGTCAGTACATATGACATCACTGTTGGGTGTGGTTACTGGTACTACAGAACACATTTCTGACCACACCCATCAGTAGCCACGTTTCCATCCAAATGTTGTGCAAAGTTTTCAGAAATTGTGCAAAAGAAAACACTAATTATTGCACGTTTCTATCCACTACTGTTATGCTAATATTAGGAACTGGGCGCACTAAGATAAAAAACTGTTGGCACTAATATCAGTCAGACGCCATGTAACCATTGCAGAAGAAGAGCGCGCAACAAGATGTTGTAATTAAAAGATCACCAGTCAAACCTCAAATGATGGAAAACCATGTCGGAAACACAATGTAAATATTCTTGTTTGCTTTGTGTATTAATTTGAGGAATGTTACAGTCTCCTCATCGCTCCACACATCTGATGTTTTTCATCTGTCGCTGTTTTCATCTCTCCAGTGGAGCCGAAGCTTCAGTGGACATATACGTTGTGATTTATTTGTCTGTTTCCACTGCATGTCGCATATTGTTTTTCAATCAAACTTTTCCACCTCAGCCAAGCGTTAAAACTTTTTTGTGTTTTTTATTTTATTTTTTTCAAATTTCCACTGAAATTGAAAATGTGCGTAAAAGCAGATGGATGGAAACACACTTATTAATGCCGGGTGTGGTCAGAAGTGAAACCGACCTGACTTGTTTAACTAGAAAGGGCAGTGAAACGCTGCTTTTCAGCCTGGTGTTAACTTACTTTTCATGATAATCCCCCTGTAAAGATGGGCAGAAGACGTCTACCTATAGCGACACTATGTGACTGTATCATATCTTGTGTGTATTGTTTGTGTGTTTCTCTTCATGTGTCTGTGTGTATATGCTTTCCTGTGCTGCGACCCACTCTGCGGTAGTTTTTCATCCAGTCTACTTGATCTCCAACCCACTGTAGTTGTGGGGAGTAGAGGGGGGGCAGATTCACTGTGGCAACACATGAAGACAGCGTCAGGGTGATTGGGGCGAGTCAGTCATGTAGCTAACGATGACCCTACACTATGTGACTGGAAGCCTCGCTTGGTTGCCCTAATGTTACAGTTTTACACATACAGGCTATAGAAGAGCTGTCAGGGTGGGCCTCTGGAGTAGTAGTAGTGTGTGTGTGTTCATGTATGCGTGACTGTGTTTGTGTGTTAAAGTGGGGCAGAGCGATCACAGAGCATCTCTGTGAACAGCATGGACGAGTGATTCATGAGCCTAGACTGATCCAAACCCTTCTTCCTCCATCCTGCTCCGCCTCTGCCCTGTCCGTCACGGGACGGATGGTCGGTTAGAGATGATAAACAACAAATTGTAGGTAGAGGTGGGGTGGAGAGAGAGTGGGGTCACTATCAGGAGCAGGAATTCATCCTGATTGATGTACTAAGCATCTGTATTGAAAGACTGATTGATAGTCAGGCTTTTATTCATTTTCTGAGCTGAGTGGCTCCAAATGCCCCGGATGAATGGGGGTTAAATGATAACTCTCCGGAGGGCTTGGCAGAATGTGTGTGTGTGTGTGTGTGTTTGTGCCTACATGCGTGCATGTTTATGGCTATTTCCAGCTTGGTTTACGATCGTGACAGTATATCTTCAAGTGGATGCAGAAGAGAGTTTTTTTTTTTACAATAGAGGTAATTTGTAATCGAAATCTGTCACACCAGAGCCTGATGAAGCACATCTTTACATACACACACTTCCTCCCTCACTCTGACACAGAATTCCTCACTCTCTCTCTCTCTCTCACACACACACACACACACACACAGACTCGCCCACATGCACAATAAATCTCAAGGGCACAGCTAAAGTCAGAGCCGCGGGCCCGAGGACATTAACACTCCTGTTTTGGTCTCTCTTACCATGCATCGCTACATCCTCTTATCCTTCCCTCCATCCTCAATCTGACACTGTCATCAGCTTTCACACAATGCAGGCACTCACACTCAAACACACACACCTGGACATATAATTTATCTGTTAAATCTTCAGGCTGTCATTATCAGATCATTTGTTCAAGGGGAAGCTTAGAGGCGCACAGGCTTTAGATGACCTGCAGATTGCTGGTGTCAATCCTTCTTATGTTACATCACATTCATAAAAAGACATTTGACTTACAAGAGCGCGACCTCACAGCTACATACCCGAACATATCCTTAAACACAGTGCTTCTGGTTTTGAACGAGCAGCTATTTTGCTCGGATGATTGTCGGTTTTACGCTCACGACAAATATAAAGCTGTTTAACAGACAGAAAATGTCAGTCTTTTACCAGCAGTAGGTCAGAGGACAGTGTGCAAAAAGGATGAGAGGAGTGTGTGTGTGCGTGTGCATGTGTGTGTTTGTTTGTGGGGCGCTATACTGGTGTTAACCCGTCATAGGACAGAACACAGGACAGAGTAAAAATATCATTGATCTAAGAAGAAGAGGGCTTGTGTTTTGTGTGTGTGCATGTGTGTAATCAGCTGTCAAGGGGAAAAAGTTCTATAGTGATATTTACAGTGCCTGAACTCAGAGTGTATTCATTATGTTTGCCAGTGAAAAGGGACATTTGTGTGGATTTTTGTTTAGAGGAGTCTCTTCAGGTATTATACGTGCCCGCTGGAGAGAAGCATAAAGGCTAAGGAGTTCAGAAAAATCGACATGTTGTTGCTCAGAAAATCATTGCCGAGGGCGATGTTCTGGATGTGGCAAGCGATGATGAATCAGAGGGAGGGGCCACTTTGTAACTTCTCCCCTCCTCTCATCATCTTTTGACACATGCGTGTGGTTATGTGTATGTGTGTCTGGTACATTCATACATCATTACGCAGAGAAGGAAACATCATTAGCCCACTGATTAGCGATCAGAGGTGCTGTGTTGGCTCGCTGTTAGCGCTGCAGATTGCAGATGTCCTCAACCGCAACAGACCCGCAGAGACCGAACAGTCCTCACTGTATGAGTCTGTGTGTGAGTGAATGTGTGTGTGTGTGTGTGTGTGTGTGTGTGTCCAATATGGGATTTCTGATATTGATAGAGATTCCAATATACCTGCTGATGTACAGTATATTATGTCTTTCTTTGTCGTTTCTTTTAGAGTTTTCTTTAGTTTTGTACATCATGAATCATAAGCAATAAAGAACATTAGGATGAAGACTGGATGAAAAGTAGTTTTCTAAGACTTTACTTGTTAATACTAAGAAAGTGATTTGAATTCTTGTGCTGCAATTGAACAGGAATTCTTACATGAATAAAAACTACACAGTTAAATATTGTAAGATTTTTTATACCACAAATACTGGAAATCTTTTAATTCTCTCAAAACATTTCTTCTTCTTTTACACATGGATAAGTGCTAACAATGAGTTTTGGATCAAATGCATTCGTTCAAGGTGTTAACATTGTCTGTAGGCCTATCGGTTCATCAGTTTAAAGTTATTAATATAATTATTAAGATTTTGACGCCATCAAACCCAGTTTTTAATACCACTTATGGTCGTCGTTTTTTCAGCAATAACTATTGCAATTATCTCTCTACATGATAGTTTTCACTCTTAGTGGTGGAGTCCGCCGTTCAGATTGCCTAGCTAAGCACAAGACATTCACAGGAAAACTATCTAGGCATG